AGAAGGCAAGACAAGGCGATTTTGGATTGACAACTGGTTACCATACACCACTGGGCAACGAATATTTGTGCCTAAGTGGAAAATTTTGCGGCGTGACGTGATTCGAGAATGTTATGACACTAAATGGGCTGGACATCCCGAGATAGATCGGACATTAGTTTTCATTGAACGAGCATATTATTGGCCGCAAATGCATGATCAAGTGGAGACATATGTTCGAACATGTCTTGTGTGCCAACAAGAAAAAGTAGAGAATAAACTATCGGTGGGACTTCTTAATCCTCTTCTTGTTCTGGATCAACCATGAGATGTGGTCACCATGGATTTCATTAGTGCCTTGCCAAAGTCTGAAGGGGTCGGATCAATAATTGTGGTTGTTGATCAGTTTTCTATGTATGCTACTTTCATTCTGGCCCCTAAGGATTGCACTACGTAGGAGACGACAATGTTATTTTTCAAGCATGTTGTGAAGTATTGGGCATTGCCTAAACATATTGTTAGTGATTAGGATCCTCGCTTGACGAGAAAATTGTGGACAGAGTTGTTTAAACTCCTTGGATCGGATTTGTACTTTTCTAGTAGTTTTCACTCGCAGACGGATGGACAGACAGAATGGATGAACGCATTGTTGGAATGTTATCTTCGGCACTTTGTTAGTGCTAATCAGCGAGATTGGGAAAAGTTAATGGACATAGCTCAATTCTCTTACAACTTACAGAAAAGTGAATCCACAGGACATAGTCCATTTGAGCTTGCAACAGGGCGACAACCTACAACGCCCCACAATTTGACTATGGCTGGTGATTCAAGTCGAAGTCCCAGAAAAGAATGAAGAAATGGGTCGATGAGAGACGAAGACCATTGGAGTTCAACATCGGAGATCAAGTACTTGTGAAAGTTTTGCCTCAACAATTTAAAGCTTAGCGCAAAGTTCATAAAGGTTTGGTTAGAAAGTATGAAGGTCCGTTTCCCATCATAGCTAAGGTTGGAAGAGTTTCCTACCGGCTAGATCTTTCAAGCACTTTAAAGATCCACCTAATTTTTCATGTAAGCATGTTGAAGCCATATAGGCCGGACTTGGAGGATCCGTGGAGAAACAAATCGAAAAGGTCACCTCCCATTGTCACAAAATCTTTTGAGAAAGATGTTGAATCCATTTTGGCGGATCGAGTGTTGAGATGGAGAGATGTTCTCCCTTGTACTACTTAATCAAATGGAAGGGATTGCCCGAGTCCGAAGCTACTTGGGAAAATGAAGGAGATCTATGGAAATTTGAGTCGGAGCTACAAAACTACACGACGACGAGGGCGTCGCTAGATTCGATGAGGGAGTGACTTACAGCCCACACGGTCGAGATCGATCTATCCCGGTAGCAGCCTCAAAACAGCGCGGGTAATGTGTTTCAGCAGGACGGAACAGCTTGCGATAAGGGATGCAGGCAGATTCGACAGGGGATGCAGACAGCTTGCGACAGGGAACATAGGCAGATTCAGGCAGGGGACACAGAAAGCTTGTGACAGGGGACTCGGGCAGACTCAGGCTGGGGAAGAACGCAGGCTGCCTGAAGCGGGCAGTTTTTCAGCACATTAAAGAGGTTTTTCTGAGTCTCGAACCAGCCATTTTGGAAGGAAAAATACATGAACCTACAGCCGAATATTTTGGGGATGCAAGTGGGCAACTTGCACAAATTGTCCACTTGTGCCACTTGGCCCACTTGCAAGATATTATCAAGATCCAAGCTAAGATCAAGTTAGCAAGGATAATATCAAGATGCAAGCTAAGTACGAGTTGTATCCTCTTGCAAGGAAAATGATAGAGAATGTCCATTTGATGACAACTAAGCATGATTTATAAAGTGGAATGCAACTTGTCAAAGGAGATTTAAATCAACTAGCATCCAATGAGGGCCCTTGGATCAAATAAATCATGGTCATTGATTTGTAAGCAACTTGCAAGATTTTTGCCTATAAATAGATATGAAAGTCTCATTTGTAAATCATATAGAGTGAAGTGAGTTTTATTCATTAGAGAGATTGTAAAGTTTTTCCTTTCATTATACAAAGAAAGTTTTCCAACCTTACTTAGTTTCCATATATTCCTTACTCCAAAATTCTCTTCTCAAAGTGGTTATAATTTAACCTCATTGGTTAAATTATTTGTGAGCGTGGAAATGCTGACTTAACATTTTCTCATGAGGGACAGGAATTGTCGAACGTTAAGGCCTCACGGTTCTAGTTGTTCGGGTGTAACGAAACTAGGCCCGTGACAACCCGCTGCAAAAAAATGTCACTTCATTCAAAAGATGTTGTACTAAAGATCTCTTGGAATGTGTTAAGTGGGAGATATCTCCTTTCAATAAGTGGTTAATTGCCATGAATTTACTTTGTAGTAAGTTATAACACCTTACCTAGATCATAAAGGGTTGACCTCTACATGACACGTCGATTGAGATGATACACACTTTCGACTACCTCAATATATCATCTTGATTTGGTCAGATAGGATAGTGATATAGAGTATGGATCTAATTGGACTTGTTAGCAACGACTACATGACAGATGCTTGAAAACTTGTAGGAAGAGGCGTAGCAAGTGAAAATACTAAAGTCCTTTATCTATACGGATAAATCTTTTTCTGCGTTGAAATAATTTTAGCCCATATGTATTTTTTGAATGTCATTTTTCTCAATCTCATTTTTAACCACCTATTATCCTTATAAAATAATTTTGCACGAGAATTCTTAATTTTTTTTCTATTTCTTAATTACACATTCTTTAAAAAAAAAATCACTTTTCACAAATTTTATTTTGAAAAATCTCTAACAAACAAGAACTTAAACACTGAATTGTGCTATTTCAACATATCTATACAAAAAAATATAATGGAATCATATGACTATGATTATTTACAAGGATCAACTGAACGTTTAACCTATGGTAAATGCATCTTACACAAAAATTCAAGAGATGCTATTCTTTTTTACTTATGACTACGTAATTCTCATTGTCAAACTCCCTTATATTTCAAGTTGAGTATATGTTATCAATGGTGGATCCAACACCTGGCGAGCCCCCGCAGCCGCACGTGCTAGATCCACCGGAGCCATTGTTTTTTTTTTTTTTTGTTGAGAATAGGCAAACATTTAGGATATATTACTGGTAATTCATTTTCATTTTAGCCATTCCTTCTAGCCAAGTTGGTTAGCGCTTGCATGTATTTCTTGGATGTCCCGGGTTCGAAACCTTTGTCAACCAATTTATTGTATAACATTTTTAGTTATACAATTTTTACCAAAACTTATTGTAATAAGGAAAGCACCAGAGAAGAATTGAACCTGTGAGCATTTCATTTAATAGAAATATTGAAAGCTTGACTATTATAACACTTGCTGAGTTGTGAAATTAAATTTAACAAAATAATATATGTTAAATTTTAGCAGTTTTAATGCAATTGTAAAAATTTGAACACCGTGCTCTTGTTTGATTCCCATTTAATTCAAAATATATTTTTCTCTCTTATTTTCGATCAAAGATTCTTTAATAAAATAATAGTACATGCAAAATTTAAAACTTTTTCTTATTTTTAACTACACATTCTTCATCAAATCACTATTTTAAAATATATTTTTTGCAAAAAAGGACATCAAATGAGCTCTTAATATTTTATTGCGATCGACGATCAACGGCCGTCCGTGCTGGCTCAACATCCTGGATTCACCACTGGATCATTCCATCTTGTTACACTTAAAATATGTTAAGAATATGTCAGCTTCAATTTATGCTAATGATGGGGACAAAAAAACTACAACATAGTTGAGATGTACTTGCAGTTTTACTTACCAAGTCTCTCGTACATTCTGAAATAACTATCATTAGAAAATTATCTAGAGATACTTGAATAGGAACTAGGAGAGTTAATTGTTTCAAAAATCACTAAACTTATACCATGGTCACAAACTGCTCACTGAACTTTCATTTGCTTCGTAATGCTCACCAAACTTTCGCCTTTTGCACTCCATCCAACACCGTCCAAAAAATCGTTAACAACCGAGATGACGCGATAGATGGAATCGTGACATGGCCAATAACGACCAATAAAATAACGCCAACGCTCCACATCACACAAAAATGTGTCCCTTCCAAATTTTCAAAAAAAAAAAAATTTATAATTTAAGACGACCATTCATTTTCCCCAAATCCCTAACTCCATTATTTCCCCCCAAATCTTCCCGTCCCCATTTCACAGCTTAGTCTGTCTCATCGACCCCACCAACCCATACTACAAAGACCATGCACATGGAGGGACCACATGGAGGTATTCTTCACCATTTGTTTTCAATAAAAAGGGATTTTTTGCACGTGGAGGGACCACATGAATGTCGATTTCTTGTTGGAATCTTTGGAGTTTTTTGTTATTTTTGTGGTGGTGTAAACCAAGATTTCGAAAATTTAACAAGTTCCATTTAATTGTTGGCACCCAATTTCACCCGTAACATTGAAGCATGCATCAATTTATGTATTAAAAAAAAATTACAAGTATGTAGCACGTAGTAGTTAATCTAATAAAAATTTGATTTTGCAGAGTATGGATCAATTCTTGAAGTCAACACGTCTAGAAGTGACGGAAATGGCATCGATTGTGAAGTTTCGTTGTCAAATGGTGACCTAGATTTCAGTGATTCGGGGAATGAGTTAGACTCCGAAGGGGATGACCTTTTATACGAAAAGAATGTGACGATTGGGATAGAGTTAGGTTCAAATGTGGGTGGGGTGGAGAATGTGGTACTGAATGAAGTTGAAGGTGATATTCATGTAGATGATTTGGAGTATCCTTCGTTTGAAGAGATTTACTCAGATGGTGTATCTGATGATGAGGTTAGTTATCGATTTCCAGAGTTTTCAGTTAAGGCAGATATGATTAACCCAAAATTTCAAGTTGACCAGCTATTTAGGGAAGTTATGGAGCCTTGAATGGGTACAATGTGAGGTTTAAAGCTAACGATGAGAGGCAAGCCCAGGAGATATGCAAAAGCAGCTGTAGTTGGAGGATATGGGCTTCCAAACTAGGTGACACGGAGATCGTCCAAGTGAAGTCATATTCTCCGGAGCACACTTGTAGTTGAGACAAAATACAACGGGCATTGCAATTACCAGTTCTTGACTCGTCGTTACATCGAGAGGTTCAAGGCAGACCCTAGCTGGAAAACAAAAGGTATTTTGGTTGCAGTGAAAGAGGATCTTAGAACTGATATCACCAGAAATGTGGCTTGGAAAATGAGAAGGTATGCAAATGAATTGCTATACAGGACAATTGAGGAACAATTCACACTATTGTGGTCATATGGTTCAAAGGTGTTGCGTACCAATCCAGGCTTAAATATGACCATCAACATGTTTTATGATGTCTTCCAGGGGATATATATTTGTTTTGAACCATGTAAGATTGGCTTTGAAAGAGGTTGTAGGAAAGTGATTGGCGTAGACGGCTGTGACTTGCAAGGCTGTTTTGGAGGCATATTGCTTACGGCCATTGGTCTAGATGTAAACAATTGTGTATATCCTATCGAGTATGCCGTGGTTCAGAAAGAAAACACCCCAGCGTAGATATGATTTATTAGACTTCTTGCAGCAGATCTTGAGATTGGTAATGGGGATGGTTCGACTGCAATAACAGATCGCCCAAAGGGGTTGCAGAACGTTGTTGATGAACTACTTCAGGAGTCCGAGCATAGATTCTGTGTGCACCATATGTACTCAAACCTTTTCAGTGCCAACTTCAAAGGAAAGACATTGAAAGATTATCTATGGCATGTAGCCAAGTCAACTACTATTTTCGATTACAAACATTGGATACAACAAATTCGTCCAAGTGTCAGAGGAGGTTTTAAAATGGCTGATGGATAGGCCATCCTAAGAATGGTCGAAGTCTCATTTCAAAGTGAGATATTCTATTTAATAATGTGTACGAAGTGTTCAATAAAACACTATAAGAAGACCATGAAAAGATGATTCTCACCATGTTTACGTCTATACAGCTGAGCATCATGCGAAGAATACAAATGCAAAGGGATAAGATGAGGTCATATGTTGGTCAGCTTTGCTCAAAGATCAGAAAGAAAGTACGGAGTTTGGTTGAGAAATCAATGGAGTGGATCGTGCACTTCTCTGGGAGTTCGAAGTAGCAGGTAGAGTGTATTTCAGGGTCTTTTGTGGTGGACCTTAAAGACAGAAGTTGTGGATGTCACAAGGGAGAGTTAACTGGGATACCATGCTTGCGTGTGGTAGCAGTGATTTGGGAGTGTAGAAATGAACCGGAGGATTATGTTGACAAATGCTACATGAAAGAGACATACTTGAATTGTTACGATAATATATTGAACGCTATCAACGAGCAACGATTGTGGCCAGAGGTAAATGCAGGACCGATAAACCCACCAAAGTAAAGGTTGCCTAAAAAGGGGAAATGACAAAAAAAAAAAGAGAAGAAAGAATGCGGAGGAAGTTGTAGTGCACACTCAAGGGAAGTCTTACGTGAGAAAAAAGGGACACATGAGAATGACCTGCTCTGCTTGTGGTGTGCGTGGACACAATAGAAGCCACCATTCTTCTACACCTACCATCTCGGACGTGAGTTTGTTTCATTTCATTTCATTTTATATCTCAAATTCCCAATAACTAATAACTGCTACATTCTTCGTTACAGGATATAGTTGGTGCTCCATTTGCAGATGTAGAATCACAACCAACAAAGATATCCACCGCTGCAAACCATACATCGACGAGTAAGGCAGCTTCGAATGTGGGTCAACAGGCATGTAATGTGGATAATATGGTGGACAACTTTGAAGAGATACAAGTTGCTGAGTCATCACAATTGCGGGCTGTTAGAGCGTATGGTCGATAACGTGCAAAGATGGCCGTATCCACATCTCAACGACCAAGTTAGCTGGAGGATGCTCGACTGGGAGAAATTTGTTAACCTGGGTGACAAAGGGTTACTGCAGATAGACTATAAACTTTAACAAATGTTTTTGTTACGATCAACAAACATTGTCAAAATCTTTTGAGTCTGTATTTTGGAATATTTTGGTAGCTTTGTTTTGGCCCTAGCAATATCGTGTCGTATGTGTATTGAACTACCAATTCACCATTTATGAAATGTTTTCTATTTTAATTCATGTGTCTTACCACCTTTCGCATCCCAAAACTACATAAATTGCAAGAGGCTACCGCATCCAGATCGGTAAAATATAAACTCAACAAACACTTCGTAAAACAAAGGTTGTTTCCAACATAATAATATTACCAATTAGCCACAAAAACATTACAAAACAACCACATTCTAGCTACCAACTTTAATATTGGACCTGCAACAACTATATGCAAACAACCAACATCAGTAAGAAGAACCTAAAATGCAATCTTGTATAGCCTCATTCTTCTGCAAATTCTGCGATGTTCTTCTTCAACTCTGTTTTTTTATCGTAGCAGCTCATTTATCACTGCCTTGTACCTGTCCTTCAGTTCCGTGTCGATCCAAACAAAGAAATTACAGGCCTCTCGCGTTCCATAGGATGGGTAACCAACAAACCGCTAGCTAGGATTTAATATCGTCCATTGACTAAATGCCCACAATAATAGAACCTTCGTGGCCCATTTGACCCAGAAGCTTCTGACATTTATGGGTTGGTGGGGTTGGGGAGATGGATTGAAAAGTGAAATGAGGATGGGAGGATTTGGGGGAGGAAGGGGCACGTTTTTGTATAATGTGGAGAGTTGGCGTTATTTTACTGGTCGTTATTGGCCACGTCACGATTCCGTCTGTCGCGTCATCTAGGATGTTAACAGTTTGTTGGGCGGTGTTAGATGGAGTGCAAGCAGCAAAAGTTCGGTGAACACTGCGAAGCAAATGAAAGTTCAGTGAGCAGTCCGTAACTATGGTATAAGTTCAGTAATTTTTGAAACAATTAACTCGAACTAGGAGCGTAAATTTGGTTACTAATTTTTAATAAGTTTACTGGACATTTTGTGCAAAGCACTCCATTTTTCAATTGGACTTTGAAAACTAGGATCATATTTGGATTCAAGACGAACTTCATATATAGATTAAGGTTCTTGAAACTCTCATGAACGAAGAAATAATAATAATAATAATAGTAGTAGTAGTAGTATTAATAATAATAATAATAATAATAATAATATATATATACAAAAATTATATATTATAATCAAATAAAAAGGTAGAAATGATAAAGAGTGCTGTAATAAAAAATAATGAAATTATTATTTTATTCAAAAACATCATCACAGAAACATAAAAGTAATCAATTTTAGTTAATAGTAAGTAAAATAGAATAGAAATATGGAACAAAATAATTGCAAAACTTGTATTTAAAAACTGTAGATCCCGTATTTTGTAAGGGTGACGTGGACACTAGACGATTGCAAGATCAATCACAAACAACACAACTAAAGTAAGATAATCCAAACTCAAGTAAACAAGAGTGTGAAAATAAGCAAGAAGCAAACAAAAGTAGCTTTAAATGTAAAAAGTTGCATTAGATTCAAATGTTACTAGAGATGGTATTTATAGAGTTCTAGCTGAAGTGGTGACCGCTGGATGAAGGAGCAAGTGGCTTCATCTTGCAAGTCCAAGTATCGTATCACTAGCCTACTACACATTTAATTTATTGAAAACGGGCCAGCCAACCTACAACCCAAGCTGACAAATTGACATATTCATTATTACAAACGTTGTATCAATCAATCTTAAAAATTGTCTGCATATCTTTTAGGAGCTAACAAGGACTTTAGCCAAAAGGGGCCTCAGAATGGAGAGCTTTGAAAGCTTTCCTTTTGACTTTGACACTTCTTTCCCGCCATTCTAACCAATCAGGACTTTTTGTTGACTTGTGCCTTCGCATGGATTGCCACATAAGTTTAGTTTGGAGGCTTGGTGGCGAGGCGTAACAAAAACAATCTAGTTTTGAAACAAAAACAACCTAGTTTTGATTAAAACAAGCTCAAAGGATTAAAAAAAAAGAAGAAGAAGAAGAAAAAGAAAAAGAAAAGAAAAGAAAAGAAAAAACTATGAAAATAAATTGAAATTAAAGTCATCTATGCAC